ACACACATTATGCCACACACATACGGCAATGAGAAAAAACATGACTCCCAAATATTGAAATAGCCTAGATCTTTTACGAAAAAGAAAACATCGGCTAATGATAAAACATAGAAATGCAGGTAAACTGAAAGAAATGCAATGAAAGGAGTATATATATATATTATTAATTCGTATATTTTAACAAATTTGATTCGTTTAGGGATAGTCACATGTTAAACTATATTTTCGAAGGTAGAGAGAAAACGGCGGATAGCAAAAAGCATATTGCACAGCAAAATGCATATTGCACGGTTATTTTTAGAATATCTAAAAACCGATATACTTTGTGACGTCATGTAATGAATTTCAGGATATTGTTCAACGTTTTGAAACAAATGACACCTGTGATCGATTATTTGACAAAAAATTTTTCAAATACATAAGATGTCAAACAAACAAAAAAAAAAGTAAATGAAATAACAACTAATATGTTGTTATTGTCAAGGAGACAATATAATATCTATAAAATTCCAACAAAATCAAATGTCGATTTTGATACAAATATGGTCGAAAATTAATAATATAACAAATATAGCCTTTGTATGAGGTCAATACAGGATATATCGACCTCGGACTTCGTCCTCAGTCAATATACTTCTTTCAGGTCAATATATCCTTGTATCGACCTCATACAAAGGCTATATTTGTATAATATTATTAATTCGTATATTTTAACTAATTTGATTCGTTCAGGGATAGTCACATGTTAAACTATATTTTCGAAGGTATTTAGAAAACGGCGGATAGCAAAAAGCATATTGCATAGCAAAAAGCATATTGCACGGTTATTTTTAGAATATTTAAAAACCGATATACTTTGTGACGTCATGTAATGAATTTCATGATATTGTTAAAAGATTTATAAAAAAAATATCTGATCGATTATTTGAAGAAAAAAAATCTTCAAATACATAAGATGTAAAAAAAAAACCAACATAAAAAGTAAATGAAATAACAGCTAAATAATATGTTGTTATTGTCTATGAGAAAATATGATATCTATAAAATTCCAACAAAATCAAATGACGATTTTGATACAAATATGGTCGGAAATTAATAATATAACAATTATAGCCTATGTATGAGGTCAATACAGGATATATCGACCCAAAGAAGTATATCGACCTCGGACTTCGTCCTCAGTCAATATACTTCTTTCAGGTCAATATATCCTTGTATCGACCTCATACAAAGGCTATAATTGTATAATACAAAAAAAAAGTAGGGGAAATGAATTCAATACATAGTTTATATTAAAAAAAATATGTGTAAATTTTGAAATTGCTGTATACATTCATATATTCGAACTGCTGCCCAAAAGAAAATTTTTATTTATATATGGACCTGAAAGTTGCACAAAATATTCATTATAGAAAATTGTGTTCGACCACTTTGAGTTTCATTTGTAAAAACTATGCATTTTTTGGCAAACCAAAATTCAGGTTAACAAATTCATTATAGTTAATTAAGCTTATCAAATATAAGCTTGACCGCTTGAAACGTTCTTTGGACAACGTCAAGATCGTCTTAATATAGGGAAGGTCGTGTAACACTCCCTAGTATCAACATAGTGCGCAACATTTTAACATAAAGTGCTTATTTTGGCATTTTTTTTTATTGAAATCAATGAAACATGTATAATATGACTTTTTTATAGTAAAAAGATAGCTCTTGGTGAATATGCAAGTTTTATTTGTTTTCTTATGGTAGTGTTTTATAATTTAGGCAATTGGTATATACTCATATAAAAATTCCAAAATCTCATTTTATATGCAACTTGGAACAAGTTTAGCCAGTTAACCAGCTGGTGGATATATAAATAGCTCTTAATGATCTGAATTGTACCACAGAAGAATTGTTTATACCAAACAATCCCTTTTCAATTTGAAGAAAGGGGGGGGGGGACATTATTCCATATTATGTCTTAGGTTCGGACTAATATATTTTTATCTACTGAACGATCTCTGATTCAAACATGAATATTGGTAAAAATATTGCTTTTCTAAAGGAAATTAACTAATTATATCTGCTGACATTAAAAAAGCACATCAGTCTTTGATAGTACCAATCTGCAGTTTTCCTCCTGAAACCCACATGTTAATATCAGTCCTTTTTGAGCATAAAATCAGTAAAGTAGTGTTTAGACTAAGGCTTTAATTGAACTTGTTTTGTTGTGGCTAGAAATAGATCAAGGAATGAAATTAAGTAATGCAAAAGTCAATATAGCAAGTTTGGTTCTGTTATAACAGACAAATGTCTTAACAGTGTGCATATTGTTGTAACAGAACCAAACTTCCTATATTGAAATCTGCTTTACTTAATTTCATTCTATGATCTATTTTTAGCAGTAAAAACAAATAAAGCTTTAGTGTAAGCATGATTTAACTGATTTTAAGCTCAAATTGGACTGGTAGTAACATAAGGGTTTTCTTCAAAATGTGTATAGTTAAAAGATAGTTCTTGGTAAAATAATCCTATGATTTTTCAAGTTTAATTGTTTTCTTTTTATGTTGGTATTTTATAAGTTAGGCAATTAATATATACTCATATAAGAATTCCAAAAAACCACTATGCAAGTTTAAACAAATTTAGCAAGGTATCCAGATGATGGATATATAAACATGATAAATTGCTCCTAATAATCTGTGGTATACCTTACTATCTGTGTTATACCACAGACGTATAGTTTATGTAAAAGTTTTCTCTTTTTCTAATTTGAAGAAAAGAAAGGGGGGGCGGGGGGTAAGGGCAATATTTCCAACTATGTCTTAGGTTTGGACCAATATATTTTCATTTAACAATTTCTGTAAACAGTGGTTGGATTAAAACATTATTTGCTTTTTATTGCTAGATATAAATCATATAATGAAATTAAGTAATATAGAAGTCAATATAGCAAGTTTGGTTGTGTTATAACAGAAAATCTTCAGAAATTCAATGGGTAGAAGCTGCACCTATTCCAATAAAAAATGGTCATATTTGATATCAGTTATCATCTTTTATCATCTTTTTTTAATGTGAAATTCTTTTTATGGGAAATTTCAGCTCTTAAATTGCCACCGAAAAGTATGTCAGCGTTTTGTGACCAGACAACATGCACACAGTTAAGACTTAACATCAAGTTCCAATTTTTGCACTTTTTTATTGAAATTAATGAAACATGTTTGTTATGACTTTTTTTTACAGTAAAAAGATATGTCATGGTCAAATAATCCTTTAATTTTTTAAGTTTTATTGGTTTTCTTATGGTAGTATCTTATAATTTAGGCAATTACTGTGTACTCATATACGAATTAAAAAATCTCACTATGCAATTGTAAACAAGTTTAGCAAATTATCCAGCTGATTGATATATAAATTGCTCTTAGTAATCTGTGTTATACGGCAGTAGTATAGTTTATACCAAATACGTCTTTTTTCCAATTTGAAGAAAAAGGAAGGACACTATTTTCAACTATGTCTTTAGGTTAGGACTAATATATTTTCATCAAATGAACAATCTCTGATACAAATATGACTATTGGTAAGAACATCGTTTCCTACCACTATGTTATGACTTTTTTATGGAAAAATATAGCTGTTGGTCAAATAATACTAGAGTTTTTTAAAAGTTTAAAAGGTTTTCTTATGGAAGTATTTTATAATTATGCAATTGGTATATACTCATATAAGAATTCCAAAATCTCACTTCATATGCAATTTTGAACCAGTTTAGCAAGTTATCTAGCTGATGGATATATAAGTACCTCTTACTAATCTTTGTTTTACCACAGACGTATGGTTTATACCAAAAGTGTCCCTTTTCAAATTTAGATGAAAAAAGGGGAGGACAATATACTCAATTATGTCTTCGGTTTGAACTAATCAAATTATATTTAATGAATAAACTCTGATAAAAATATGACACTAGATAAGACCATCATTTTCCTAGCAAAAATTTAAAAAATCTAACTGCTGATATTGAAAAAAAACAGATATAAGTCATTGGTAATATGCATATGCAGTTTTCTTTGAATAACCCATATGTTACTGCCAATCCAGTTTAGGCTCAAAATCAGGAAGAAGTGTTTGGACTGAAGCTGTACATTTTTTGTTGTTGCTAGAAATAGATCATAGAACGAATTTAAGTAATGCAAAAGTCAATATAGCAAATTGTTATAACAGAAAATCATCAGAAATTGCACCAATTACAATAACAATTGATCCTATTTGATGTCACTTATCATAATTTATCTTTTTTTTATGTACAATTCTGTTTATTGGACATTTCAGCTCTTAAATTGCTACAATAAAGTAATTCAGCCTTTTGTTGTCATACAACAGGCATACAAATAAGACTTAACATAAGTTTACATTTGTTTCATTATTTTTTATTGAAATAAATGAAACATATAAATAAAAAGATGTGGTATGAGTGCCAATGAGACAACTATCTATCCAAGTCACTATGTGTAAAATGTAAACAAGCATAGGTCAAAGTACTGCCTTCAACACGGAGTCTTGGCTCACACCGAACAGCAAGCTATAAAGGGCTCCAAAAAGACTAGTGTAAAACAATTAAAACAGGAAAACCAACGGTCTAATCTATATAAAAAACGAGAAACGAGAAACACTTATGAATCACACCAACAAACGACAACCACTGAACAACAGGCTCCTGACTTAGAACAGGTGCATAAAAATGCAGCGGATTTAAACGTCTGTTATGTATCTTAAGACTTTTTTATGGTAAAAATACAGCTTTTGGCCAAATAATACTATAGTTTTTTATAAAGTTTTAGAAGAATGAGTACGTGCAGCCATCTTTGTTGCTCCGTTCGCGTCAGTTGACAAACTTGGACGCTCCTGCAAAACGTCGTCTTTGCTATTCGAACCGTTCATAGCGGCTTCTGCCAAAACGCAAAATATTAAAGACTTCTACATCATAAACTAAATAAATTCAATGTATTTTCTCAGAGCGAAAACACGACCGGCTGGATTTTCTCCAGAAAGAAGACTGAGGTTCCAAGCGCTTAACTGATATAGATGTAGATGATTTTCAAAAGATCAGCTAAGCGCTTGAGCGAGATATGACCAAATACCGGAAAGAATATCCAATTTAGTAAACCTATCATGTAAGTGTAACGTAGTGAATATAAAATTGTCATATTTGATGTCAGTTATCATGTTTTATAACCTTTTTTTATATAAACAATTCTGTAAATGGGAAATTTCAGCTCTTAAATTGTCACACTAAGGATAAAGTTCCAGTTTTTGCTTTATGATTGATTGAAATCATTGAAACATATATCACCTCAAAAGCTAACCAAACCTTTAAACAGACTTATTCAGAAGGGATATAGTAACGATACTGTTGTCAGGTCATTAAAGATGGCATATTTTGGTATTAATATTGATTTACTCATAGGGTCTTTGCATCGAAAATAAACACATGTATTCTAAAACCAGTTGTTGGCATGGTACAAGTTATGTTCTACTCATATATTTTTTGATGGTATGACACTATACACCTAACGGGATTCATTGTGCTATGTTTTTCATATGATGAAGACATAATCATTCAATCAGTTGAATTGAGGTCTGGAGCCGACATGTCTGTAACTGCTAGTTGTCCTTTGTTAATTAATTTAGCATTGTCATTTTGATTAATTTCTTTTGTTACCTATTCTGACATCGGACTCTGACTTTTTTTAAACGGAGGTTTACTGTGCGCATTGCTGTGTGTTTGTTTATTCTACATCAGCTAGAGGTAAAGGTGGAGGGTTGAGATCTCACAAAACATGTTTAACCCCGCCGCATTTTTGTCCCAAGTCAGGAGCCTATCAATTTTATGTTATGACTTATTTATAGTAAAAAGATAGCTCTTGGTGAAATAATCCTATGATTTTTCAAGTTTCATTGGTTTTCGTATGGTAGTATTTCATAATTGAGGCAATTGGTATATACTCATATAAGAATTCCAGAATTTTACTGTATATGCAACTTTGAAACAGTTTAGCAAATTATCTAGCTGATAGATTTATAAATACATGTAGCTCTTAATAATCTGTATTATACCACAGAATAAGATTGAGAATGGAAATGGGGAATATGGCAAAAAGACAACAACCCGCCCAAAGAGCAGAAAACAACCGAAGGCCACCGATGGGTCTTCAACGCAGCGAACAAAATTCCGTACCCAGAGGCGGGCCTCAGCTGGCCCCTAAATAAGAATGTGTACTAGTTCAGTGAAAATGGACGTCATACTAAACTCCAAACTCCAAACTCCACACTATAAATGAACTAAAATTAAAAACGTACAAGACTAACAAAGGCCAGAGGCTCCTGACTTGGGACAGGCGCAAAAATAAAGCAGGGTAACACATGTTTTGTGAGATCTCAACCCTCCCCCTATACCTCTAGCCAATGTAGAAAAAAGAAAAACTACAGAAGTATGGTTTATACAAAAACGTCCCTTTTCCAATCTGAAGAAAAAATGGGGCACAATGTTCTCAATTATGTCTAAGATTTGATTAATATTTCTTATTTAATGAAAATCTCTGATAAAATATGACTATTGGTAAGAACATTGTTTTGCTAAAAAAAAATGTACAATTTATAACTGCTGATATATAAAAAAAAATCATATAAGTCATTAATCATCAATTTGCAGTTTTCTTTGCATAACCCATATGTTACTTCCAGTCCAATTTGAGCTTAAAATCAGCAAAATAACGTTTTGAATCAAGCTTATTTTTTATAATGCTAGTAAAAAGTAAAATCACAAAAATACCGAACTCCGATGAAAATTCAATCGGAAAGTCCCTAATCACATGGCAAAATCAAATGACAAAACACATCAAACGAATGGACAACAACTGTCATATTCCTGACTTGGTACAGGCATTTTCAAATGTAGAAAATGGTGGATTGAACCTGGTTTTATAGCGCTAAACCTTTCACTTGTACGAGTAAAAGATCATTGAACAAAATTAAGTAATGCAGAAGTCAATATTATAGAAAAGTTGGTTCAACAGAAAATTATCAGAATTCACTATTTAGAATTTGGGACCCATTCCAATGAAACTCAATCATATTTAATGTCAGTTATCATGTTTTATCAATTATTCTTTATATACACTTCTGTTTAATAGCTCCCAGTAATCTGTGTAATACCGCAGACGTATAGTTTATGCAAAAATGGCCCTTTTCAAATTATAAGAAAAAAGGGAGACAGTATTCTCGATTGTGTCTTTGGTTTAGATTAATATTTTTTTATTTAATAAACAATTTCTGATAAAAATATGAACATAGGTAAGAATATTGCTTACCTAGTAGAAATTAACAAATTATAACTGCAGATATAAAAAAAATCATAGATGTCATTGGTTATAATTATATGCAGTTTTCTTTGCATAACCCATATGTTGCTACCAGGCCAATTTGAGCTTAAAATCAATTTAATGGTGTTTGGAATAAAGCTGTATTTGTTTGTTTTTATTGTTAGAAATAGATAATATAATGAAATTAAGTAATGCAGAAGTCAACATAGAAAGTTTGGTTCTGTTGTAACAAAAAATCATCAGACATTCAAGTTTAGAAGTTGCGCCGTTTCCAATGCAAATCAATCATATTTCAGATGTCAGTTATCATGTTTTATCAACCTTTTTTAGATATACAATTCTGTTTATCGAACATTTCAGGTCCTTAATTGCCACAATAATGTATTTTGGCCTTTTTTGGTCATACAATATGCCTACAGTTAAGACCTAACAGACAGAACCTGTTTATTATTTTTTTTATTGAAAACACTGGAACATGTACATGATGTATGTTATGACTATTTCTATAGTAAAAAATATAGCTCTTGGTCAAATAAGCTACGATTTTATTTGGTTTTCTTATGGTAGTATTTCATAATTTAAGCAACTGTTATATACTCATATACAAATTCTAAAATCTCACTTTAGATGCAATTTGAACCAGTTTAGCAAGTTATTGAACTGATGGATATTTAAATAGCTCCCAGTAATCTGTGTAATACCACAGGCGTATGGTTTATGCAAAAATGTCCCTTTTCAAATTATAAGAAAGAGGGGGACAATATTCTCGATTGTGTCTGAGGTAAAGAATTAAAATTATGTCTGAGATTTGAACTAATCAGTTTCTATTGAATGAATAGAAATATTTATATGTTTTACTATCGTTTTTCTAGTAGAAATTAACAAATTATAACTGCTGACATTTAAAACAAAAATCATATAAGTCATTGGTAATATTCTTTTGGTGCTTTCTTTGCATAGATCATATATTACTACCAATCCAATTTGAGCTTACTTTCAGTAAAATAGTGTTTGCAGTAAAGCTTAGATCATGTAATGTATGTAGATCTGTAATGATGCTATCAAGTGAAGGCTGAATGACTAGTGATCATTGTAGAACACTTTTTGACATAACTTTGAATAGTAAAAAAAAAATCATGAAATTTAAAAAAAGAGGGTACATAAGGTATTGCATGTATAATGAAGATAAAACAATGCATCTTAGATTTGGTGGAAATTAATCTTTCATTCCCTATCGAACCAAATGTTATCCCTTTCCCGATATAATTTCATATAGGTGTGTCTTTAAGGTGAAATAATTATCATTACTCATCGATGACCTATATATATATTATGTTATTCTACTAAACTGTATACATTGTGTTAATTGAAAAAAAAAAAAAAAAATAACATAGATTTCTTTCGTTCTTTCGATTTAATATGTCATGGATAATTTAGATGCCAATTAAAGCACCTTGTTACACATGTTTTTATGCTGGCGTCTTTGAGCTTAGATTATTAATGACCTCTTGTTCTACACTTACTTTCAAGTGCAAAATACGAAAAACAATAGGTGTTCCTTTTATAAAGTTCTAAAAGCCTCAAGCCACCTTACATATAAGTGCGATGTTATTTAATCTGTCCAGCAAGTAAATGTGTTTACCAGATATTTTGACTGATGAAATTTAGCAAGTTAAAAGACAGCTCCTAAAAACTGTTTTACGATTGCCGACAGCTACTGATTTTACTTCAAACCCAATCATGCAAAACGTTTATTTCGACCCTGACAACTGCGTTGGGGCTAGACCTGTTGTAAAGTTAACTCTTGGTCTGTTCTTCTACACACTAAGCTTAATAGCTTATATAATCATCTTTTAACACTGACCTGGTTACATATGTACTTTACATGGCAATATTTGTGAGATAACATTTTAAATATGGCACCTCAAGATATATGGCATTATATGAACATGATACATTTTAAATATATGGTATTCAGTTACTCCACTTTATTATAAGCTTATGGTCTGCTTTATTCATAGTGATATCATTACTTTTTTTTAATTTAAAATGCTCGACCATTATATAATATCATGAGTTTTATGTTGGTTTTGTTTTATATCAGTATTAAATACTTTTGGTTTGTTTCCGGAAAACAAAATTGTATAAACATATTTACATACGCGTTTTTTTATCGACTTTCATTTGAAACTCAGAAACCAAACCATTTGGAAGCCAAGTATATATGATAAAACGAATCTTAAACACATTTCTATTCATCAACAAATCAAGTACAACACATTATTTTGCAGAAACAATGCCACCCTGTCTCCATATCGTGCTATTTTGCCGATCCTATCTACAATTTATTTTGAATTAATAAATATATATCTCTCTTGCAAAACTCCGATTCCTTGTACTACTTTGGCTATACTTAATATTTTGTTTGTGTACACCTCTAAATGTTTGAATGAGTTTTGTATTTTCATATTTTATCGTCTAGAGTTCATTGAAGGGACATTCGCATCTGATGCAGTAATATAGGCACCGTTAAAACTAGTGTGCTCGATTCGTTTTAGTTATTCATAATTTAATTATATTTACAAAAAAGTTAAACAAAATACCGGTCTCCAAAGTTAATTCAAGAAGGAAAAAGACCACAAAAAACTTACAAAACCAAAAGTTATCAACCTACGGAATGAGTGAAAAAAACAACTATCACATGGCGGACTTGGAACCGGCATTTTTCGAGGAAATTGGTGGGCTAAACTAGGTTTTATAACTAAGTAAACCTCCCACTTGTGTGACAGTTG